ACAAGGTGATTATAAAGTAATCCTATTGAGGCAGGAAGTTGACACTGCAACTACCAAATACCTTATTCAGCTCAGGATTAGAACTGGCCTTTGATGGTTACATGTTACATTTCACCTCCAGAGAGCAGCCTTTCAAGTCATGTTATGAGCACATTATAGGACAGCATAAAATTCTGCAGCAACAATTAACAAAATCAACCTATTCTGCAAAAATAAGACTTGCATGTGCAGAAAGAGAATGGCTTAATACAGGCCAAAATGTTATTAACTTTACTCATCCGGGAACTACCAACAATAGCTTGTACAGTACAAAATAATGATTTCCACCTGCTGGAGGTCTGCCGTTTGCCCTGCATCTCCCTGTAGCTGCTTCCCCATCAGCTGCTGCAAGCCATTGCCCTCCCTTTAGACAAGACCTGAGGCCTGGAAATAGAAGATTCGTGTGCACTAAGGAGACAAAATCTTTTGTCAATTCCAGATTGCAGAAAACCTAACCTGCTTTGTCTAGAATCAGCTGGATTCCTACTACAGAACACTAGGAATTAGCTTAGCTTCAAACCCAGGCCTCAGAGAGAGTTCAGCTGGCAAAGCAGTATTTTTATTCCTCATCCATCTGCACTGGCAGACCACATGCCTGATTATCATGTAAATGACACTTTCTCACTTTCAGGTCTTCAGGAGGATAGGTCTTGCTTTTAGTATATAGAAAGCTCCTCTTCTCTACCACATCTCTCTCGGTGCAAGGATTGTATTTACTGCAGGAAACACATGAGCTTCATTAGAGGAGCTTTTGGGGTTTTTTTCTTCAACACAGCTCAAATATACAACAGAAAAAAAGCATACAGGACCTCCTTTCGTACTTGGAATCACACCCAGACAAACTTAGTCTCTTCAAAATAAGGACTAAGAGGAAATGTAAAAGGTCCTTCTGAGATACAGAATATCTATGAGTACTGAAGAAAGACATTGTTGAATTATACAAAGTTGGTATTTGTGAAATGGTTACCAAAAAGATTCCACATAAAACTGACAGTGGTTATGAGGGGAGTTTGGGGAACTTTTACTCTAAGACACCAGTTTGATTTTTCCTAGCTGACTAACACTAGGAACAAAAGCGCTCTAAGAGCCATCAAAGTTATTGCATTCTGTGAGTGAGCTACAGCCTCACAAATTAGCCAAAAAATGAAACCATTGTTTATTACAGGCTTAATAAGTAATTTTTAATATGTTGTCTTCTTGAAGCTTCCATTAAGAATATGTTACTTTTGTTTTTGTCTAAACGTTGATAAGCAACAGAGAATTCTGCCTACAGGAGTAGATGAAGGGACTGACAAATTCCAGTTGCTGTCCAGCTATTGTGATGCTCACCTCCCCAGCACATTTCTCCAGAATGCCCAAAGTTTAACAGGGTATCTCTCAGTAAGCAGCATAACCAGTCAGCAAGTTGCAATATAATAGTCTGTGAAGAAGAGACTCTTCTGCCAACCACTTTTAACTAGGAAAGCTCCCTAGCATTCAGCAGAGCGGTAAGGAATGTGCCAAAACCCTGAGGGTCTTAAAATTACGTAATAATAATACGGCATCATTAGGTCACGCATGTCAGTCTTGAAAAATCTTTGTTTTCTAGTCTGTGAAATTGCCTGGGCACAGAGATCTGTCACTCATTTTTCATGATGTTAGAGAAAGCAAGTATTCTTGAATAGTTATACAACCATTTATGACAAATCCCATGTTTGGTTTTATTAGAGTATTTTTTACGGATAGCTGAAGGCAGCTGTAAGACTATCCCAGGAAATAAGACTGGATAGCTCAGTACTTTTTAAGGAGCTCCTGATTCCTTCATATGACTAGTTCCAACTTGGTTTAGGTAGATACTAACAGTTCTCCCTTTCCTCAGTTCATAGGTGTTAAGGATAAAAAAAGATAGCCCACACTTACCTCCTGCATAACCTATGCCAGAAATTTTCGTCTAGTTATTTCTGCATAAAGCTCAGTAACTTGCATTTATTTGAAGTAAATCTAACAGAAATGCAAGCAGTTTTGATTTGAAAACTTCCAGGGTTATTGAATCATCCATTTCCCCTACTACTGTTTCCATAATTAACCACCCTCCCTACCATAAAACTTTATAAAAATCTTTATTATTGCACACACACTGTTTCAAAACTTCTCAGAGTAATAAGTACTGTGTTACAATTACAAACAATAATCATGTTGGCTCCTTACCAACCATTAACACATTAATCCTTTAAGACTGTTCTCTGAAAAAGGAGAAAAAATTTTATATGCTCTACAGACAAGTAATTAGGACAGAAGTCTATGGAAAAAAAACAGGTGTTAAAGCTGAGAATTCTCAATCGAAAGATTTCACCATATTCCCTCTCTCCTTCAACTTCCCCTATGCCATCTAATATGCGAAGTTTTGTTGCACACATTTAGCTAGTCATGTATAGCTTCTGCCTCGCCATCTTTCCAAAATGTCTTTTGTAATATCCCTCCACATATACACACAAATCTATTTATATTCTTTTATTATATTCATCTCAGCCCCTTTTGCCATTCTGTTTGCAAATATTGTATTAGGGAGGGAGTCCATTCCACTTAATTTTACTTGCCTAAAGTGCAAGTCAAATTTAATCTAGCTATCTAGGCTCTTTCCACAATCAAAGGAGAGAGTGACACTTTCAGAGAGTGATTTATTCTAAGGTGTCTAAAATAGATGGGATTAATGAGAACACTGAGGTACTGAGAGTGCCTGCCCTTTGGCCTATGGAAGTAAATTGTTTAAACTGGATACCTGATTAGGTTAAACAACCAATTGAGATGAAATATTGTGAGGATATTTGTGAGGTGTTTTGTTTGTTGGTTTGTTTTCAGTTCTCTCATATCTGCAACACCTACCCAGCCTATAAGCTTATTTCATTCATAAACAAAACCAAGGCTTGTCATCAGAATGATTTGAATCATACAGAAATAAAGGGTTAATTAAAATAACTAATAAAAACCAGTAGGTGAAACCTTCCACCGAGTAGAAATTTTACTGTACATATCTTTCACTAATCCTGTATCTATAACATTTCTGGGTTTTTTAGTTACTTGGTTTGGGGGTTGTTGGTATTTTTGCACTGTAAGCTGGAAAACTCTCATACTATTGGCACAAAATGTCACAATCACTTTTATCACAAATAACATGCTATTAGGCAAAACAAAATGGGTTCATTGAGTGCCCTTACAGAGCATTCCTCAATATCAAGCCAACTATCTGATCATTCTCACACTAATCTTTCATTTGGTTTCCCCAAGAGACTAACAATAAGTGATTGTCACTTATTATGTGACTAACAATAAGTGATAGACAATTACAGCTAATTTTAACTTAAATTGCTCATGTAAACAGTTCAAACTTAATTCAATTTTTTGTAGGAATAGGGAACAAGAGGAATTGAATCCTGTCAGAGACCAACTAGTTCTTCATCAGGAATGCACAATCCCAGCAGCTCATCATTAAGAGCACTGCAGATTCAGTAGTGGTTGTCAGCTCTTTTTACCACTGTCCACCTGCCAGCAATAAATATTGTACTGCCTTGAATATGTACTAGGCACAAAAAAGACTAGGAAATCAAATTAGCGGGGAATCACTGGAATTCATCACTATCCTTCAGCAGCATGAGAGGTAATATAAACTTTGCAAAACAGATATGCACAGCCATAGATTTAGAATCTCAGAAAGCTAGACTAAGATCTGCCAAAGTTGTTGGGTTTTTTAGCCTTGTCTTTATCTTTATTATGATTTTGTACTGTATTTATATGCTGGCTGGTTGACCAGCCCACTAGACAGAAGTTGGAAATTCCAAGATTTCATCTGTATCTTCTCAATGTACAAGAGGATAAGACATGCAGCACAAATATTCAAACCTTTGTTTTTGTTTTTTTGCTTTCATGAGTATGATGAGCTTAAGCTAACTCTGGTTTTTCCCCTAGAATTCTGTTAGCTAGAGATCTGAAGTACACTGTAAGACTCCCACATACCTTAAGTAATTACTATTCAGAGAATTATATAACTGCATTTTATCAGCACTATACCTGAATTTCACAGGTATTTTGTTCCTTGAAAAAGGCATATACATTAAAAATACAAAATGAAAAAGTTACAATAGGAATCAATGTAATCAGTATTGTTTGCTCCATATCCATGAAGTTATCAAAACCACAGAAGATTAACTCCTGGAAAACATTTTTAATACTGGATTTATACCTTCCATCATATGTGACAACCATCTCAACCATGTATTCTGTCACCCATATTTTCAAGATCTGACTTCGTAGATACATACATAAAACTCTAATGTACTGGCCTACTTTAAAGGCTATGAAATTACTCATATTTTAGAATAAACATCAGTTGCTCTAGAAACAACAACCATGGGTTAATATCCTGTACTCTTCAACAGAGCCTTTAAAATACAGTAGTAGCTTCACATTTCCGAATAGAAATACGCAGTAAAAAAGAAGCATCACACCTGAGCAAACAAAAAGAAAATTCAGTCAACTGTTAGATGAAAAAATAAGGAATGAAATATATGAATAGGAAATAACGACAGCTAGTGCAATAAAAATCTCTACAATAGATGCACCTACGTATGAGGTAGATTACCCTTTTGACTCCAATTACATAATCCTTTGGCCCAGTTCTGGTCAATTATCACGACAATCAAGCAAGTCATTAGGGCCTAGCTTCCCCAATTCCCACTGGGACCAATGACAACAGGCACCTAAACATTTTCTTAAAATGCAGTAGTAGGTGCTTAAAAAAAAAAAAAATCTATAGAATGAGATCTGGTGTACTACTATATATATTGGTATTTAAATAGTTTTAAACTATGTCATTATTCTTTAACAAATTTGCTTCTACATAGACTTGTAACAAACACATCATCACCTTGGCACACACTATTTAACTGAACTTTTACATTACATTTTATGATTACAAGATACTATACCTCTGTCTGAAGTATGGCAGCTCTCTGTTCTTTGGCAGTAAGTGACTCTTTAAGCACTTCAATGTGTTGCTTGCAATCTGAATTCTGATTGCTAAGGGTTTCAAGCTTAGTTTGTAAGGCAAGAAGTTCTGATTCTTTCTTCGAGAGTTCTTGTTTCAGTTGGTCAATCTGCAGTGGCAAAAAAAGTTAGGTCATTGATTTCATTTCCAATTCATAGTTACACTTGAGATTTGAAAGGTGAGAATGACCAATAATATGGTGCAACTCAGATACCTTCTGTAAAATCTAGAGATAAATTAAGATTCTGACTTTTAACACCTCCAACTTTCATTTTTGTTTAAAATTCAAGTTTCAATTCCACTATGACCAGGGACCAGAGAAGTGCTAGAACAGCTCTTCCCATTCTCTCACTTCAGTTGCATCCCAACAGTGATTTGGAATACAAGAAATCTAGGAGAGCTAGATGGACAGATATTTAAAAATCCCCTGGAAAAAAAAAAAAAAATCAACAGGTTGAGCCTACTGAACCACATCCTAAATAGCCACATACTAAAATATTTCACAAATACAATACTGCATGGCACAGTTACTGGAAATATTTACTGCTGATTAAACTGTTTCTATTCTGTTCTACATTGCAAGCATTTCTTACAAATTAAATCCATAAAATCCAAAAACTACTAGTCCATATGCACATCTCAAAATATTGTTTCTCTCTATAAATCTCATCATGTTTGTCTGGCTGGTGAAGGTACTCAGCTAGGCACCCTGAGCTACTGTATATAATCAGAACCTAAACAGGCTCTAGAAGCAGTCATCCTCATAGTCCAAATATTCAAAAATAAAGAAGGAACATACAAAAAAAACAGATGACAGGAAAATGAAAGAAGTTCAGTAAAGGAACTGCTAGAGAAAATTTTCTCTTAAAAGCAAACCATCTTCTTCTATCCCTTGCCAGAACATGTAAGCAAGTATGGAAACTGAGACTAAAATGTATACAAAATGAACAATGGGGAAATCTGTCTACAGGATATTAAGACAAAAAGTAGATCTGCAGCCAATCTGAATTACATCACGTTTTATATGAGACCCATGTGAACATCACAGATGCTTAATCTCTCTTTCAAATTCTTCCTGTTTTTTTCCATGACACAACCCACACCTTGAGAAATAATCAGCCAAAAAAATAGCTTCATTTTCATCACAGGTATGTTTTCTGTCTCTTAGAAACAGAATCTGTTCATCAGTATATAATGTTCTATCTAAGAGGATCCGTAAATTGCCATTTAAAAAAATGCGTTACAGCTCTCAGATTTAAAAAAAGGAAGTATCTGTGTTGAATAATTGATTTTGCCTGGCTTTTTATTAAAATAAATTATAATGGTGAAAGTGTACTGAAATTCCATTCAAAAAAAAAAAAAAATCAAAAATACCCATGGCATAACAAGAGGCCACAAATTTTTTTTAAAGAAATTTTCATACCTTGGTATACTTGCTTGCTAAAAGCTCTGCATAAGCTAATACTGTGTGTGGAAAATTAAATACTGCCTGAAATAATTTTCTGTCTCCTAGCAGACGTGCATACATTTTCCATTTGGTGAGTCTTAAGTGGTGTGGAAGGCCAACAGTAATGATTCAGAAAGATCTCCTGATCTCAATACAAAAGAATATAAAGCCAAGGACACAACCATCTTGTACTTTCTAAAGACTACAATGAAGACAACCTACAAATCTGGATAAAAGTGCTGGAGTATCCAAGGAACTCTACGTTTGTCCTCTGATCCTGACCTTCTAATTATCTCACATATTTCATACGTGTAATTTGCCTGTCACCACTTTTTCAACATTGCCCAATATGATCTTGCTTTACCTCCTCTGCTGAAAACCCTAATTCCTTTGTATTCCTTCTCAATTTATCATTCCCTGTCACCTCTATAATTTTCAGTTCCTCGGATACTAGTATTTCCAGAAAGCCATTATCTTTTTTCTTAATTTTTTTTTGAATGTCAAAATCCTACATGGCATTACATAGGGTAACTGGGAAAGGAGGGAAAAAATAATAATTAAAAAATAATAATAATAATCTCATTCCCTGAAGACTATATAAATTAAGAGTAATAGGCTAAATCTTTAAGCTAATAACTCCATTAAATGAAGCTATAATTTACACATGCTAAGTATCTAGTTTCATGCGATAAGTGATAACTGCTTATTGAAGTGAAGGAATTAATTGAAGGGCAAGGCAAGTGAAAAGTTAAGTGGTTGCAATGCAGCAAAGCTCTAGACATCCCCTCTCTTAACCCGTACTTTAGAATCTACGGTTTATCTGTGGATTCTACTGTCTGTATTGGTCAAGGTCTAAAACGCTTACCACATTTGCTTATCATCTATCCACAACAAAAAATTCTGTAGTTCTTATCCTGTATCTTTTTTGTAGAGGGTCACCTAGAACTTTCTCTCCTCCTACAGAGAGTGTGAAAAGTTCTTCCAGATAAATAACAACTACAGAGAGCCTTGTACAGAGAGCCAGTTCACTTAAGCCTAATCAATTCTTAAACCTCATCTGAACTGTTATTCGCTGAGGTTGTACTGAGCTATCACTGGATTTTCACACTCACTCCTGTAGATAGTGTGAGAGCTCTAATACGCAAAGAACTACTTGAATTCTAGAGTGCAAATGCACAACTGAAAAAAATGCATCGGTGTTTTTCTAAACATCTGGCTCCTAAACAAAGAATGAACCCTAGCAGTACAAAGAAGCCTTGCAAAGCAAAAATTATTTTTAAAATGCGTATGATCCTGTATGTTTTCCTCAGGCCCTTAATAAAGATATTTGAAGCTCTATATAGAGCTCCCTTAGTCTTGAAAACTTTAAGACTTGTTTAGACAATTTCTGCATCGTGGAAGTGATGACAACGTTTTTCCCTGCAAACATAAAGCAAAGATAGCCTTCCTTATGTGGGAAAGGAAAAAAAAAACTAAGCACTTTTTTTTTTCTTTCTTTCTTTCTCATTTCTGCAATTTTCCTTTCCACATTAATTCAGATTTAAAGCTTTTATACTTGGAAGGAGTGAATGTTATTAAAAACAATTAAGAAAAGGAACACTTCATAAAAATCTGTGTCATCCATGTACAATAAATAACATTGACTATTGGTCTGCATTTAACACCTTCCCTTTTATTTAAATTAAGAACATTTAAAATAAGTTATATTTCAAGAATAAATGCATAGTATTAAGAGCTTTATAGCACCTAAGACCGTTAACTGTGAGAAGAGCTTTGTTCTGCTGTTTGCCATCAAACAGGACTTCTGTTTATGAGAATTTATCAACGATCTCAGGTTCAACAGATCAGGTATAATAAGATCTCCTTGCTGACAGCTATATAAATATTTTTCCACCTTGAAAGGTTCTGAGATGAATGGTAAAAAAAAGTATCTTCTGCTGCAAAACTCAATTTTAAGGGGAAGGAAAGAACTGGTGAAAGAAAACAGACCAAGTTTCATCAGAATGTGACATTTATCAAAGATCAGAAGATTGTGACAAAACAATGGCATATTTAGTAGCCTTCTCCTTTATCTGCTTTCTACATCACAGAAACATACTGGAGCTCTTCCTCTCAAAGATATTAGAAGGTTATTAACAAAATACTAGGCTTTGTACATTATTTTTATATCAACAGCTTTGCAGAGATGTTTTAGGAGTTTTGCTGTAAATTACTAAAATTGAATAGCTTCAAAATCAGCAACATTTAAATGGGTACAATAACGAATATTCCTAATGACAATGCCACTCAAGAGCTTTAAATTACTTTTTGAACGTAAAAATATGTTTGTTGAAGGTTTTACGCATATGAATTGTTTCCACACGAGCACTAAAGCTTCATAAACAAAACACTCTCAAGATGGAAGGCTGAGAATAACCCATTATAGATTGTAACATTATATACATTGATTAAATTTTAAGGCAGCTATACAAATATCACAAAAAAATGCATTAGAACTGACAAAGAGAGCATCTTTTTGGAGTGATCATCTTTACCTAGTGGGCAACGAAGCCAACTGTAAAGGAGCTGAAAAGTCCAGCTAGTGCCACAACGTAGGACTAAGGTGTACTTGTGACATATTTTAAAATAATGAAGAAGCAATTCTGTTTATTGAGCTTGATATCAAGGAAATGTGTTGGGAATCTTTGTAAGTATTATCTTTTTATAATTATTTGAGATCCTCATGTGAAAGAAACTGTATAGGAACCAACTTTTCAACTTGTAAGACTTGAAAATACTAGAAAATTAAAATTTGGCATCATCTATGGCACAGCAGTCCTTAATGTAAAACTATTATTCAAACAGGGAAAATGCACAATTAAAATTGTGCAAAAACAGTGCAAGTCAAAATTATGAGCCAGGTCACAAGGCCAGCATAAGAATTAAAATTCATAATGAAACATCAGAAGAGAAACGTTGAAACACTATGCATGAGACAAGGAAAAGGAACACGATATAAAGCCTCAGGATTTTAATTGCCTCTACAGAAGTAGGGGTGGAACAGCCTCTTCCTCATCTCTCCTCTATCAATACATACATACATTTTTATTTATCCAAAATACACTGCTCCTCCATAGCTATTCCATATCACATACTACAAATTTACAATAGAAGGCATGCAGAGAGCTGCTTTTGTTTAAAAGGGGCTAGTTAAAACTTTCGCTCACATTATTCAAATACCATTAAGTTATTTTATTAGTAGACTGTACCTTATTTTTCATGAACTTCGAGTGACTCTTGTAAACCTCTATTTGTTTGATTTCTTCTTCTCGGTCCTCTGTATTCAGAACTCCATTTGTCTTTAACATCTGTATCTCATCTTCAAGATCTCTTATATTGCGCTCAAGTGAAGCTATTTTTGTATCCTAATTTATTTAAAAAAAGTATTGAAAATTATATGAAACTTGTATGTCAAAGCACAACAAAAGCATTTCTGTATTTGCAGAAACAACAATATCATGATAGCAAAAATAGGTAGTACAGCTACAGATTGCACATACACCATTATAAGCCTAAAGTAATTCCATGGACAATGTCTCACAGAAATGCAGAATTCATACCTGTTTCACCACCAAAAAAAAAAATACAGTGCTATTTTCTATTGTATCATCCATATAGAATACATTCTGGTCAAAACGCCTTCTTCATTCTTACACGGTTAGGAATTAAGAGAGAATGGAATATGCCCTGTTTCCCATATATAAGTGATAACATACCTTGTCTGCTTTCCTAACCACCTAGGCCTGGCTATTCTTCCAATCTCTTAAACACATAAGCTAAGTTTAGCCTAGAGAGAGTAGTCTGTCATCACTGCAGAAGGATAAGGCACTTCACTATGTCACTCAGAGCTGAGGCTGTTGCCAAATTGTCAATCACCCCCAACGTTATACTTTTGTGTGCTGTTAGAAAGAAGAAAGGTTGTCTCCTCACTTTTCTTCCACTAACTCAGACACATCACTAAGAGCAGATTTAGCACTTTTTATTATGAGTCCCATAATAAAGAATATATAACTGACAGACAACAGCTGCCATGTGTGCCGGCATAGCACTGACAACACCCAATGACTTTTTTGTTGCTGCCAGTCATTTGGAAACTGAATAAATCTCTTCACTAAGAGCCAGAAGGAGAAAATATGAGTGATTATGCAAACTTTGCACACACTTTTCTATTTAAAAGCGCATTACAAAATGACTTATTAGATATCTGCTTTAGACACTGTTTACAGACATTTACTAAGAAACTGAAAATACTGTGATTCAGTCAATGAGACAATCAGTTCAAGAACATGAAGAATATGAAGTAGCAGTCATCCATCAAAAATTACAGATCAGGGTGAACTTCTTGCTCCACTGAGGTCAATGAAAAAAATACACTGATTCAGTAAGATCAGGATATTACCCCAGAAAACTAACTCAGGAAAAATACAAATTGAACTGATCCTTTAAATAGGACGGGCTAAGCTTAGGTCTCTCTGGTTAATAATGACTTTGTTTTTGTTTCTTTTTTGGAAATTAGTTTTATTTTCCTAAGCTCTAAGAGTATGTCAATGCTATCTCTAGGCTGCCTAAAACCAAAACCTGAACTGCAATACAGAATCACAAAATGGCCGAGATTGGAAGGGACCTCTGGAGATCATTTAGTCCAACCCCCCTGCTCAAGCAGGGTCACCTAGAGCACATTGCCCAGGACACTGTCCAGATAAATTTTGAATATCTTCAGGGAAGAAGACTCCATAACCTTTCTGGGAAACCTGATCCAGTGCTCAGTCACCCTCACAGGAAAGAAAGCTTTTCCTCATGTTCAGATAGAACTTTCTGTGTTTCAGTTTGTGCCAGCTGCCTCTGCTCCTATCGTTGGGCACCACTGAGAAGAGTTGCTCCATCCTCTTGACACCCTCCTTTCAGATACTTATACACATTGACCAGATCCTCCCCCAGTCTTGTCTTCTCCAGGCTGAACAGACCTAGCTCTCTCAGCCTTTCCTCATACGAGAGATGCTCCAGAACCTCCATCATCTTAGCAGCCCTTTGCTGGACTCACTCCAATACCTCCCTTTATAATACAGCTAAGCCAATTCAAGCAGCAAGAGATTTTGGAATAAGTTCCAAAAAGCATCTGAACTTTTAGTACTAATCCAAAAATGGAAGTCAGAACATTTTGAGATTTAGCAACCACTCTTACAAACCTACCAAACCAAAGCTACGTAAAGATGAAACTTAATCTCATTTAAACAAGGTATCGTATCATTCCTGTAATAGTTTAACTTTTATACTTATAGCCAATAAGTCTCAGACTGACAGAAATCTTCTTTTATTATTATTATTTTAACTCTAAAATAGTTTATTTGGTTTGCAGTATAATAGCTGTTCTTAAATTAAATTGTTCATAGTCTGTCATCCTGGCTTATAGTATCTGCAGATGGGTAGAAAGAGGTAGAAGAGTGAAATACACAACCAAAATCAATGCTGGAAAATTATTTTGTAAGTAACCATTTGCAGTACTGCATATACCAACATTTTTTCTTAACCAAAAAAAAAAAAAAGGACTTGAAAAACATATTTATGCTTGCGCCAGTTTAAGTCCAAGAGCATGGAACAGAATAAGACAATGCATAATGCTCTCCAGTCTCTCTCTATCCAAAACTTCCAAACCAAATGATCTAATTCAGAAAGCAAATACTGAAGGAGATCAGCACTCCTAAGAACTGTGCAGAAGTATTACATTTAACGGATAGCCATTGCTGCTTATGGGTTTTAGAGATTTTTAGAACAGTGATGAAGGAAAGATGGCTGCTTCTTCTAAAACAAGCTTCTGGAAAAATCCTTTGTAGCTTGTGAAGTGATTTATAAGATTTTGATCTCTTCTGCTAAGCAACTATATTTATTAATATTGTGAAAACTCATTTAATAGATTTCAGTAGTATATGAAAATAGATGGAATTTTATACAGATAAAAACTCAGGAAATGCATTTGTCAGTAGACTTTATGTATACAGAAGTTAAAAAATAGAATAAAAGTAATTTTTGTTATGTAATTTTAAAAAAAACTTAAGAATATTAATAACAAAATAAGAAAAATAAGTCTTTAAGTATAACTGTCTTGCCTTAATAGCAAAACAGTATATGACCAACTTATTAGCCTTAATACCAAAAGCATCAGCAGGCTCTTCAGTGGAGACAGGAAATTTAAAGTCAACTGTGAGCCAATTGACTGTCTCCCCTTTGTGCAAATCAAAGGAACTAAATCAGAAAAATGGGAAGCACGTGTTGCACCTTCTTAGACTGTGGGAAGGGACATGGACATTCCCTGCAGTCACCACACTTGTGCCTTCAGCACAGCATTTTGTAAGCTGCAAGCGCACCCAAATGCATGTATTAACCATGAAGTACCTGAACTCCAACTCAGTTCTTCCCAACTGAATACCGAGATCCCACAAGATGTTTTTGAAATTTAGGAATTCACAGGATATAGCTTACAGACAGAACTCTCATATATACTTTTTATCCTGTAAGATAATGTAAGATAAGACAAGGTAAGAAAATAGTTTTTTTCAAAAAGATTTGCAATTTTTCGCCCCACTAGCAAGCATTTTCCATTATGCTGCACAGGGTTTACCTACTGATGTTATTAATTTTCATTATTAAAGTCTTTTTTCCTTACAACTGTCACTCCTGGAGAAATTCTACTGAGAAAAAAAAATGATAACATTGCTTAATTTACTCTAACTCTGGTCCTTCAAAAGTTTTTATCATACGTGGATGTTCTTTCACCCAACATACTGCAGTACATATTAACTCTTTCAGCCAGAATACCTGTATCCTGAATATTCCCATGCCTCCAACCAAGGAAATAAAGAACGCTTGTTCTCAGCCAATCCTATTCCTTTGCCATTATAGATTTCAGTGATAACCCTATTATCTAATAGCAAGGCAAGAGCTGGGCTGTGGGATACATACAGATGACACATCTCAAAGAATGGCATTTACTGTAAATAATACTATGATTCTTTTGTAAAGTAAATAACTTATTTGCCCACATCTAATCCATTGTTAGCGAGTCAAAACAATGACTCAAACTTTAGGAATTAGGTGAGAGGATTCTACCTGTGGAGGGTGATACAGTGCCACCAAAATTAGCCTTAGAACTTCAGAGCTGCTCTGCAAAACAGTATCACATGTATACACTCAGTGAACCACAAATCACTTTCCTATGTATTTCCAGCAGTGGAAGCATTTAGGTTATAGAGGCAGTTTGTTGTCTAGAAAATCAGCTGTCACATAATGGTTCACTTCATAAACCCTAACTTGACCCAGTAAGAAAGCCTGCATAGAAATAATACATGTACAGTATCTTCATAAATTCAGAACAATCAAGTTAAAGTCCAAAGACTTTACATAGGAAATTACAAATTACATAGGAAGCAACTATTTGCCTCAGTCTTCACTGAGGAGGTCTCCTGGGCCTCTGCACATAATGAAAGGGTTCAAGGAAACCTACCAGCAGTGGGTGAGGACTGAGTCAAGGATTACTTGTGAGAATTCGACCCGTATAAATCCATGGGACCAGACAGGCCACATGCAAGGATGTTGAGAGAACTGGCTCATGTCCTTGCAAGGCCACTTTCTACCGTCTTTGAAAAATCATGGAGATTGGGGGAGACCCCCAACAACAAGAGGAAGGCAAATGTTGAACTCATCCTTTAAAAAAAAGCCAGAAGAAAAAACTCAGGGAGCTTACAGGCTGGTCAGCCTCAATTCAGTCCTTGAGAAAATGATGGAGGAAGTCTTTGTGGAAAACTTCTCCAGGCAAATGAAGGAAAAGGTGATTGGGAAGAGTCACCGTGGATTTACTGAGGTTTAAAAAAAAAAAAAAAAAAAAATGCCTGACCAAACCAATTGCCTGAAAACGCCGATGTTAATCTTAATCAGCAGTCCTTATTTTCCTTTCTTGAAGGATAAGTACAAGGAGAAAGAGCATTCCTACCAAAATAATTTTAAAAAGGAGCTGGCCAGAGAAGGAAGCCGGGGAGAAGAAGGGGTCGGGGAGGCCACCAGATTTTGAAGTCTGTCTGCTATATTGAGTTTTACTGGAAACTCATTGGCCTTCTGCAAAAATTCCACTGAGATCTTCAGATTCAGAAAAAGAATATTTTCATTTTAACTAATTGGCCTTTCTCAATGGAAAACTACTGTGGAAGATTTATAGCAAGTTCACATTTTGTCAGGTAGGTAATATGCAATTTAAATTAGTCCAATGCCAGTCTAATGTTACCAACATAAGATTTCCAATAGTGGAATTCTAAAAAGTTTATTAGTATTTGTCCATGAAATCAGCGTTACTTATATCATAGAGGGAAGGCCTCAG